GGAGAGATTTCTAATCAGGTCACTCAAGCTGGTGAAGCTTACTGCCCCGCTGTCTCACGGCTCCTTCGGATTTTGACTAAAAGTGAAGGGAGTGGGTGTTTGTACTAGAAACGACTGAGGAAACTCATGTGCAGAAATGGAATATGGTTAGTCACTCACCTCTCAGGTAAGCCCCATGTTGCTCTGGATATCATAGAGATCATTTGAGTAGAAAGAGGACTGTAAGAGCCTGTGACTGGATCGGAGGACAAGGAAAAAAACCAAGATATGAAATTTGGTGAGGCCGAAGCAGTGACTCAGAAGTCAGAACCAGCAGTACAGAAATATGAGGGCTACTCAAAATGGCTTCCCACTTCTGAAGCATTCTATTTGGTACTTCTCCAGCTTCTGATTATCCCGAACTCTAGGGCTATCTGTTCACCGCAGGACTAACTTAACCCCAATCACAGAGGGTGAGGAAATGAAGGGTGGACTGAAATATAACATAGGGTCAGGACAGCACACCAAAAGTAAGTGTACGTGTCAGTGAACTTCCAAAATGAACATATCTGAGTGACAGAAACAGAAGACCTGCCCCCACCCCATGGCACTCCAGCCACTACCTCCTCTCAGGGGTCACGTGGCTCTGACATATCACACCTGATGCAGATGTGAATTACTGGGTTTTGAATTTACATAACAGATGATACCAGATTGTGTTTTTTGTTTTGGGTTTCTTTGCCTCAATATTCTTGAGATTCAGCCCTATTGTAGAGTGTAGGTATGTTTCATTCTCTTTCTAGAGAGTATTTCACTCTGTGACAATACCACAATTTATATATCCACTCTACTGAAGATGGATGTGTGGGTTGTTTCTAGTTGGGCACCATTACAAATGGGCTGCCAGGACTTCTTGTCCCTGCCAGATGTCTTTTAAAAAGTCTGGTCTAAGAATCACCTCTCTCCAAGATGATTATCCACCAGTGATTCACAACCTTTTTGCTTGGGTTTTTTGTTTGTTTGGCATTTGCTTCCTCTCCCATGGGATGCATGGCATAGATTTTTTTTTTTAACTCAAATAGATTCAGTTTGAGGATGTGATACCATTGGAGACACTGGCAGCGTTCCTGAACAGCTTTGGAAGGACTTGGGAGCCACAGAGCTGACTTCCTCCTGGAGCCTGGAGATGCTACTCTGAGTCAGACTCCATCGACTTCCCCTCTCCCATCGACATTCTGTGGAAAGTGGATCTGTTCTCCCCACCTGAGCTTGTCCTGGACATGCTAAATTTCATCCTATTAATGTGCAGAAGACAGGGTTGAGTCCTGGGCCTAAATTGCTTTCTTCTGTCTCTCTCCCTCTCTTTTTTTTTTTTTTTTCAGTTTATTTATTTATTTTGGGAGAGAAAGAGCATGCGGGGGCGAGGACCAGAGAGAGGGAGAGAGAGAATCCCAAGCAGGCTGTACACTGTCAGCACAGAGCCCAATGCAGGGCTTGAACCCACATTCCCATGAGATCATGACCGGAGCAGAGATCAAGAGTCAGACCAACTGAGCCATCCAGGCACCCCCTGAAATTGCTTTCAAACTTCCTTGGTTCCTTTGATTTATTCCCTTTGTCTTCGCCAAGTCCCATATCCTCCAAGTCTCAACCCTCAAAATGTGAGAATATTCATTTCTTCCTTTTTGGTTTTTTCTTAGCATGCGAAAATAATAACGAAATATTTACTTAAACAAGTTATTAAACACTGTCTTTTTATGCTTCTGTTTTCCTCAGTTTGACAAGAGGATATAATAACATTATTCCTAGTTTTCATAGTATTAGGGGTAAAGAAGAATAGCTCAGGTCTTTCACAGATTTACCATGTACCAGGCACCCTTTTAAATTTTTTTTTTCAATGTTTATTTATTTTTGGGACAGAGAGAGACAGAGCATGAATGGGGGAGGGGCAGAGAGAGAGGGAGACACAGAATCGGAAACAGGCTCCAGGCTCTGAGCCATCAGCCCAGAGCCTGACGCGGGGCTCGAACTCACGGACCGCGAGATCGTGACCTGGCTGAAGTCGGACACTTAACCGACTGCGCCACCCAGGCGCCCCTACCAGGCACCCTTTTAAACGTACTACATGTCATAACTTAGTGTCCTTTCCCTCTTCTTTTTTTTTTTATAGATGAGGAAAACTGAGACATGGAGAAGTCTACTCCCCCAATATCACATAATTAGTAAGATTTCAGACCCGGGGAATTCTGGCCCACAATCCTTGTTCTTTTTACCACAAAGCTAACTTGCACTGCCTTCTAAACAAACACTCCCTGGCACATAGCAACAACTCAGTGAATGGTCCTTCAAATTGGAGAATAACATGTTTTATAACGTAAAAGGT